GGCTGTGGGCCAGGGGTTTCCCCCTAGCTCGCGCGCAGCTCGCTCGCTCTCTCTCTCTCTCTCTCTCTCTCTCTCTCTCTCTCTCTCTCTCTCTCTCTCTCTACGAGGTGGGAGTCCCGAGAGAGACGCTCTCGCTCTCTCTTTCTACCAGGTGGGGAGCCCGGGGTGCGTCCTGACCCAAGCGCCGCGCTCGTGCGCGCACCCGCAGTCCGTGGGTGTCGGACTTTTCCCCCTCGAGGTTTGTCCTCTGAGAGGCTCTGCTGTACAATCAAGTTGTGTTTCCCCCCATCAGCAGGCAGTCTCTAGCGTAGCTCTCGCTCTGTCTCTCTCTCTCTCTCTCTGCCTCTGTCTCTCTTGCTTGCTTGCTTGCACGCCGTCTGGGACGTGGGGTATCCTCACAATCCCTGCGCTCTCGCGCTACGGCCCTGTCTGTCTTTGAGCAGTCGGTGTGAAACTGAGGAAGGGGCTGCACTGTTGGACCAGGCCTCAAGCCCCGATAGCCCTCTATGACAACGTGTCCTCAATATGAGCACCCCGCCTGGTCCAATTTGTTGGTGCTGGCCCCCTCTCTGTGCTGTTGACACTTTCGTGTCGGGGTAGGTCTCCGCAGTTGCGCCAAGAACGATCTGAAGGTAAAAAAAGGCTGCAAGCACGCTCCCTTAACTACTGCATCAACGCAGGTGTCGAGGTGTCAACCGCTTGAGACTCTCTCACTGCTACTGCTTTGGTTTGTGCCCTAGGTGTTGTGGAGTGTTGGCAGGGTCCCCGTTTGGAAAGCAAGCTAGGGGCACTACTAGAGCTAGGGGAACAAGCGCAGACGAAGGGGAGGTTCCATGCCGGTGGAGGTTGTGCTGTGGAGTGAGCCGGTGCCTTGGGCGGGAAGCAAAGGGGGAAAGGTTCAGGGGCACTAGGGGAACATCACAAACGTAGGCCCCGGCTCATGGTGGGTGCTGGTGGAAGTGTTTGCTGCTCCTACCCTGATGCTTCGGTTGCACTTGCGACGCGTACGTAAAAAACCCCCCTAGCATGCCCTAGAAGCAGAAACAGTACCAAGTCCCCGTAGTTAGTCATCAGCCATGGCCGCATGCAACCGACGTCGTCTGTGGGATGCTACGGAATCCTGCTGCTCACTGTCCCCTTGTTGTTGTTCTCGTTGGTACCGTTGTTCGCCGCCGTCTGTTGAGCCCGAACATCTCGTCTTCCGTCTCCGTGCCTGGCATGTCCTCCGTGTCCAGGCTGCACTCCGTGTAGTCGCCCCCGTTCGCTTGTCGTCCCGCCGGCTTCCATAGCTCTTGCGGTTTGGGGAGCGTCCCCGTAGCCAGGCCCTCTTCCGAAGCTGAGCTTGCTGCAGGTAGGGGCGGGGTCCAAGGCACGGTGGCGGCGGTCGACTCCCCTGAATCAGTGCCCGAGTCTGTCACAAGCTGAATGGGGTGACCCCACAAGCCCCTAGACCACTGGTGAAGCTGATTGAGGGCTTCAGCCGCTATGGGCACCTGGTCCCCGACCAGGGTTGGCATGAGTTGCGTTAAGAGCTGTGGAGCCCGAAGGACCATGTAGGCGGAAGTTTCCTGCTGCTGCTGTCCCCGTGCTGCTGCGTGGCTGGACTCCATGGGGGCTTGTTGGGGTGCTCTTTCTTTCGTCAGGGTTGTGGGCAGGGGAAGTTCCCCTAGTTGGGGTGCTCTGTCTCTCTCTCTCTCTCTATCTCTCTCTCTCTCTCTCTCTCTCTCTCTCTCTTTCGAACACGTGGGGAGCAACGTGGACCGTGGACCACAATCCCCCTGCTCCGCGCAAGCGCGAACCCGCGGTTCGTGGGTGTCTTTAGTTTCTTACATTGGGCTTTTGCAATAGGGGTTCGGCTGGACACTGAAAAGGAGAAGAATGTCAGAGCTCCCCGAAAGTAAGATCAAACAAGCACAACAGCGTCCCCCCTTCAATAGCCCGGGAGCAGGAGGAAAAGCCTGCTGCTCCCCCACGACGTTGCGTGAGTGGCGCTTACATTGGGCTGCCTAAGTTGGACTGAGATCGAATTAGGCCTCCTTTCCCCGAATTCTACTAGTTGTCGAAAGCGAGTTGAAAGAAACTTGGATTGAGGGCGATGTCGCGCCATGGAAAGGGTTGAATGAAGAGGGGCTATATGGCCCAGATAAAAAGTTCGCATAAGTTCACGCCTTCACAGTAGATGTTCATTTCGAATTTCCCCGTGTACAATGGCTACTTGGAGTGTGTTTCCCCTTTGTCTACTGTCCTTGGTAAGCACAACGACTTGCACATCACAAAGCGTCACAAAGGGTACCGAATAAGATCATGCTACGTAGGGACATGGCGGTCACTTGGCGGTTCCCCGAACACAGGAAGCCCTACACTACACTAAACCTGACCACACAGATACTGCGGCATCAGATTCTTCACAGTGCTCATTGGTCATCAGGACTCGACCTTCTTGACATGCTCCCCCTCTGTCTCGACATGTGTGCTTGCACTTGTCGAACTTGCCAGCTGAGACTGGGAACAAGGTTCACGCTCACCCTTTCCTCCTCCGTCTGTCGCTCCCCCGCCACATTGAGCGGCCTTGTTGTGTCGGGGCTTCGCCGTGGCGGGGTCCCCCACCGGCTCATTGGGCTTTGCCTTCACTGTCTGGGATCTTCGCTTCGGCGGTTCTCCAATAGGCTCACTGGGTTTCTCTGCCATGCGGCCGGAGCTGCATCCTTCCCCCACGTGCTCTTCATGTGGCTTGTTTGCTGGGCTGTTGTCGAGGCTGTCGTCGTCCCCCCAATCCGGTGGGGTCCTCTTTCTCGCATGCGGCAATGTTGCTTCCCTCGCCATTGTCTTGGGCTCAGCGCGTTCTTCTGCACGTCGTTGAACCTTCCCCCGGTTTTCGGGCTCTGGTGTAGCCGAAGTGTCCGATCTCTTACGGCGGATAGCTCTGCGCTTCCCCCTCCGGTTTGCTCGGATCTGCTCACGTATTTTCCAGGCTGTTTGTAACATAGTTCTGACCTGGTTGGGGTATCGCATGACATATGCCCGGCTTTCATCGGAGATCTTGGGCATGAAGCGGCTGTGGCGGTCGACTATGTGCACCAGTCGGTCAGCTTGCTCCCCAACTCGGCATCGGTCACACCAGCGCTGCCGATACTGGTCATAGTTTTCTTCATCTTCTCGGTTGAGGACTTCCCCCGTCTGGGTGTCTTCATATCCCCCGTCTGGAAATCCACTCGTCCAGGGCCTCCGGGTCGTAGAGAAAGTGTAGTCCCCCTTGAGTGACTGCGGTTGCGTTGGCCTGCCTCCTCCCCCGGTTACTCCATGGTCCATGGAGTCTGCAGTGTGGGTCCTCACGCACATGGGCCTTTCCGAATCCGGTCTCCCTCCATACCTGCAAATCTTGCACTCTTGGCCTCTGAGTGCTTCCATCGCGTAGTTGCGTCGCCGTTCTTGCCACAGTCACGATCTCTGAAGTGGCAAATTAAGTCTCCCGCCCAGCCTGGTTGTAGAAGGCAAGGCCGGTAAGAAGGCCGAGGTAGAGGACCTTGCAGCCACTAGGTCGGGCACCGTTGCAGTGCTGCGGACTTGCCCTCAATGATTATGGCTCTCCCCCCTGGCGCGGGTGTGACATGTGTGACTAGTTACTCGGAAGGAGCACCCGAGGGGGCGGAAGTTCCCAGAGGCACAGGAAACCCCCCCCCCCCGAGCCCCCCCTTGAGCTGGCGATGAGCGGGTCGTCCTTCTAGTCGTTGTAGGCACCTCCCCGGTTTACAATCCCACTCGAACGCTTTGGTCGGGTTTCGGGGAGTGAGGAATGAGCGTAGTTCAGTGTTTAGGCCTGTTTAGGCTAAAGCCATCAAGTATTCGAGAACTGTTCACAATGGACGCATGCTCTGCTTGACATCGGCATCAGATAGGAATGTTTACAAACGGAGTTCTGCAAGAGATTTGTTTCAGCATCACGGAAACAAGAACGCAACATCCGTCCCGACTTCAAATTTACTCCGACTTTACAAGTTATTGGTCAGGGACAGGAGAAGGGTTTCACATCAGAATCAGATGTTAACTGAAGGTTTAGGTTCTCCTGTGAATGACTTGGGTTCTTTCGGCAATGGGAGTTAGATACAGACCTGACAGCGGTCAAGAATGATCAACAATGCATCAGGGGATAGAAGAACAAATGAGGTCGATTATCCCCTATTGACACGACAAGGAAGGTGCAAAGCAGCAGTTCCTCTCTCTCTCTCTCTCTGCATCCGAGGAATTGCTCCATCCTGTGTACTTGCCCTATTCACGAAAATTCCTACCAGTTGCCTCTGACACACTGACTGGACTCACTAGGACTTGGTTCCGTGCACCGCGGAAGTGCGCTTGCATCTTGATGGCCTTCGAGAATTGAAATCCGAGACGAGCCAGTTTCGACAGGCCCCAGGACATAGAGGAAGTGAGACATGAACAAACTCAAAGCCGTAGCATTCACGTTCTGCGGCCAAGCCAAGATGCTGCTCTCTCGCGCCACTTGCTCCAAACATCTCGAAGGATAGCTTCCTGATGAAACCGAGAACACCAAAGGTTTCGAATCACATCCTCAACATGTGTCAGCTAAACCCTTTCAGTATGTCCGCAACATGAGTGATGATGCGCCCCCGGCGCCGGACACAGAACATAAAGCGACTGGCATACCGAGGTGGTAGCGCATCCAAGGATCTGTGGCGGAGATTTCCTTCAGCCGCGCTGCAAGCCGCTCTCGCTCCTTGTTCCTGTTCGATGCCATCAAGTCGTTTCATCGTTTCCCAGCCTTCAACTTTTCTGCATCAACCTGTGACGAAGATCCCACTTCCGCGCCCCAACAAGCCCTTAAGCCAGTCATGGCCAGTCCTTGCGATTTTTTCCGCGGCCTCAGCCAGGCGCCGCTTGGTGGCATCGAACTTGGCGCGCCTTCGTTTGGGTTTCAAGGAAAGCCTCGAGAAATTCATGTGTCTGTCTGGGCCACAGGCTCAATATCTTTCAACGCTCTCAGCACTTTGCGAGGACCGCGGCCCCTCCAAACAGCCTCTGCACAGTGTCAATTCCCAGTAAGCTGCTAACTGCTGCTGTCAGCAGCCGACGTGGCATCCGACATCGCAAGGCGTGGCCACAATGACCAGTGCTGGGCAGCTGTTCGCGGGCCTGGAGGAAGCGCGCCGCCTCCGTTGCCATCAGCTTCTGCATCAACTCCCGGCACTTCTCCACTTCTTCCTTGCCTCTTAGCCAGTAGCAGGCAGCTTGACGCCGTACTGTGAGGCCATCAAATGAAGTGTAACTGCTGTAATGAGCCTTTCGCAGTTTCGCCGTGTAAGAAAGAGAGTGTGTCATGCACTGCAAGTGGTTACCAGGGCGAAGCGATGTTGTCAGGCGGGGCTGCTGCCAAGCTACGGGCTTTTCCGTCGAGCTTCGCATTGTTGGCGAAGAAGCGTCGTGGATTCAGCTTTGGATCCATTTTGCCCTTCCTGGACTCCGAGCTGCCAAGACTCGAGAGATTCTCAAAAGGCCTGTGCCTGTCTGTGCCTTACATGCAAGGAGAGGCGCATGAGACGCTCGGCTTCTTCCGCCATGGCTCGCTCTCTTTCTGTTCGCTCCCTGCAAACAGCTTGCTGACATTGCGAACACCAGAATGGGAGTCGCATGGCTTCGGCGTGCCTTTCAGCCGCCTCTCTCTCCTCGCGCGCTTGCACATCCATCTCCTCTTGCATCCTGCGCATCTCCTCCTGCGAGTGAGCACCAGGCCGGCAGGCAAGGCAAGGTGGCCAACACGCAGCGAGCCTCTTCGTCCCTTCGTTTCTTCTCAGAATCCTGCTGCTTGCGCATGGCCTGGTTGTCTCATTCAGGTGGTGCTGGCAGAGCTTATTCCCACGGGCTACTGCAGGGCTGTTGCTTGCGCAGGATGCCCTGGGGCCATCGCCGCCCCACGCTTGTCACGTTGCCGCTGCTTCGCCTCCTCGCGCCGGGCCTGCTCCGCCTTCATCGCCATATGATCAAAGTGTAGCAGTGTAGCGCAACACAGTCAAGACAACACACCTGACTTTTGAAGAGCTCACAAGAGAGACGAACAAGACAGCAAATTCTGACGCAGTCGTGATTGCAAGACACATTCATGCAAACGGCGGTTTGATCCCCAAGGAGCGTCAATCAGTCAATGAGCATCTACACCACACTGGCTGTGAGTTCATCCTCAGAAGTATCTCCAAGTGATTCCTTCCTACCACGGATCTGACAAGGCCTCCGCGAACTCTCGCTCTGCACGCAAGCGCTCCTCCTCCTCGGCTTACCGAAACTCAGCACGCGAATGCACTCCCTCACCTTCAGCTCACCTTCCATGATCTTCCATGATCGGATCGGATCAAACTCAAATCCTTTGGGTCAGGTATAAGATCTACTGGGCCTGTGGGCCATGGCTGGTGAGGGGGGGTGCCTGTGGAAATCATGGTCAGCCTTTTCCAGCCGTGGTGCCGCCTGCTGCATTGCCAGCTCCGCCTTCCTCCGCTCCTCTGCGACACATCACGGATGCGACAACACTCCGACCGAGAAAACCACAAACTCTCGCTGTGCAGGGAGGCTTGTCATGCGCTGTCAGGCAGAAGAAACGGGACACTGGACAGTGTGCTGCCACATCCCCGTTGTCGCTCACTTCCGGGCATGCCCTGCTGCAGGCGTCTGCAGGCCGACCAGGCCAGGCTTACGAGTTGCCGAAACAACCTCTTAGTCAGCGGAAGACCGTGTGGACCTCCCCCCCAATTTTCATGTCCCGAACCGAGGGTGGGCGCCCAGAACCTTGGCCAGCTTGATACTCCCATGGCACGACACGCTTCAGGCGCGCATTGGCGACCGCCGTCCCAAGCTCCAGCTTGCTCCTCGGCGGCCTTCTGGCGTTCACGTTCCGCTTTCTTGCGGCCTTCCATTTGCATGCACACACCATGGCAGCTTGCTCTTCAGCATGCGAAGTGCGAGCCTGCTTCATTCTGGTACAATGCATCCTCTGCAACTTTGCGGCTTTGCTCCATGACAGACATCGGATCCTTTCAAGAGCAAGACAACGGCAAAGTCCCCCACTTGTTGCCATAGAACCCACAGTAAACAGAATCAGTAGAATGTGCCAGACAAATCTTGTTGCAGAATCAGCTCCTCATTCTCTGTGCGGTCGCCCTCAGGTCCGAGAAGCCACGCCGGCGAGCAAGCCGAGGCAGAATCCTGGGGACCGCTACGGCCGCTGGCACGGCGTCGACCACGGCCGGTCCCGGGCTGGCGGAGCGACTGCGCCTTCCAACGGCCCACACGCTGCGAGGCGAGCTCTTCTTTGGGTGCAAGCCAGGCACCCAGAGGGCTGCGAGGGCTGCCCAGAACTGGCTGCATGCGGACCTGGAAGAGTAAAAGAGTAGGGAGACCATGCGGATGATTGTCTGAGCATAAGTCCGCAGCTGGTCGGATCGAACAGCGTTGGTGCAGTACCATGAGCAGGGCTAGAGTCCTGCAAGATACAAACCCGTCCCACTCGCCCCAGCCCTCAAAGCCGCGGCCTGGCTCATGAGGCCCGGCTGCACGGGGCCTGCAGTCAGAAAGGACTCTGCGACAAGCGGCTGCATGCAATCACAGGCCTTCGGCGCGCCTGAAAAAAGTTGGGGGCGCATGTAGCTGGGAGTGTAGTTCCGGTCGGGCACCACTGTACCTCAAATAGACGCAGTTACAGGGCATCAGACGAGATATCTGTCACTCCTGCAAGAAAACCCAATATCCTCTGCACTGGCAAACACATTAGATCTGTCCTACGTGTCACAGAGACTGTGATGTGCAATCAGCTGTGCCAATTTTCCTGGCCTGGTCTCGCCCAATCACGCTGTGTCACGGGATCCTGCAATCCACTTACTCACAGGTCTCTTCCCGGTAAGCCGAGCAAGCTCGGTTTCGAAATTATAGCCCATGCATGAACGCCGATCGACATGCGTTTTACTGAGAGCGATAGGAGTTAGAGCATGCTAGAGACTCCCCTCGTAATCTTCAAAGCCACCGCACCTTCAGGCCTTCACAACAGTGCAGCTCAAGGCATTATCGCACACAATACTTGCGTTAGCCGAACACCACAGGATCATCAGCGCAATGTCATGTTTGGAGTATTGCAGCACGCACTGGGAGCTAGCCCCATGTTTCGAATGCAGGCACGAGTGGGTACAGTCCCAACCGATCGCCTGCATGCCAGTCCTACTCTTTCTCTTACAAGGCCTGCAACGCAAGGGCGGAGTGGTCTTGATGGGAAATATGCTTGCCAGCTTGGAGCGTGGGCGTGGATGTCAGGGAATACCAGCTACAGCAATTTCGTACGGGCTAGCAAGACCTGCTTGTGCCGCAGGTTTGCAATCTTACAGTGCGCAATATTCTGGATGACTCATGATGACTCGCAGAGAGCTGACAGTCCAGATCGAACCGCGCCACGTCAGGCCGCGAGTGCCCAGGGCTCCAATTTCGAGCTGTCCTTGGGAGGCTAACTGCGAGCTTGCATCTGCGGCAAGCAGCAAGCTGCCATTGGAGGTGAGGCTCATGACGGCAGACGGGTCCAAATGGAAGCGGCTTGCTTCTGGGGAAGCAAAAACATCATCTCCTGGCTGCAGTCTGAAATCCAGCAAAGCGCTTGCCTAGGGGCCTAGCGGCCTAGCGGTTGGGAATCTGAGTTCGTTTCAAAACGAGCACCTGCTTCCGGTAGAAGACCACGGTCTCCGAACGGGATGAAGCTCGCCTCGCATGCAGTGCTCGGCGCGAGCCATGCCATGCCAGCCCCGCCACTTGATCGACCTCCTCCTCAACCCCTACCCCAACAGGTATATATTATGTACTGTTTAGGCTGCGGCTAGTCGGCTAGTCTGCGGCTACATGGGCCCCTCTCACTTCGCCGCGGTGCCGTCGGCCCTGGAGGCACGGCGGCGCCGCTGCCCGGGCCGGGCACCACAGGAGCTGCCTCTTCGATGGCACACATGCTTTTTTCACCACTTTGGTCGGTGCCACTTTTCTATCCCCTGTTCACACTTGCCTCGGCCTCGCGAGTGTGAGGGTGCTTTCGGTTGTGAAATGACGCTATGTTCGGGGTCTACCGATCGTGGGACCAACACAATCCGTGTCCATGCTCAACCTCTTCTCAACGTGCGCAAACGGCAGTTGCTTGCATTGTCAAGCCCAGTGTTCTACGATTTCACGTCTCTGCGCACTGCTCAATCACGCTGCTCGCGCAGCTGAGGTTCGTCTGGCACGTCCCTGGTGTAATCCCGAAGACTTCGCGATATGGCACAAAGTAACACTGCGTCAGCATGGGCGGGACTTCAAGCTCAGCCTGCCCTTCCCCCAAATTTATTGCCAAGATTTGCGGACACACTGTCCATTTAGCAATGCCCAAATGGAAACTCCACAGCTGGATTCACCCCAAGCAGCTCGCTGCGCTCTCCGTAAGAGACCGATATCGAAATTGCGGGATCCATAATATGGGTTGACCTAGTGACCTAGTGAAGCACGGTAGTACGGCAAAGTTCGGGCCCTTTCTTGTTGAACGTAGGGATAACATGCTCCAAGCTACCTATGCTTTGGGACAGGTGCGGCTGAAAGCTGGAAAATGGGCTTTGGGAAGCTTGTGTCGCAAGCCAGTTTTCTCAAATCGTGACGTCGTACAGTCCTGCCCTCGAAAGTCCCACAGCCCGAACCTGAGGTGCAGCCGTGCGGGGTGGGGTCCCACTGCGAAGCCGCTCGCGCTGCTCTCGACGCTCCTGGCCCAAACGGTAATGGAAACTGGTGGCTTTCCTCCGGGACGGACTGACTGCTTCGAAGTTGAGTTCTGTGAGATGATTTTGTCACACCTTTCTGTCTCTCAGAAACCCTACACAGTCCACCTCCTATCCTTATCCTTGCATCGTGTGGTTGAGCATAACCCTTTAAACAGAGGAACCTGGAGCCAAGGATCGATCAGTTGCTGCACACGCTGCTCCAAGGCTTTGCTCCGAAGCATCTCGCCTGCTGGAGGGCTGCAGCCAAGGGAGTTCCAGGGAATTGGCAGGTTTTTCTGGACTTCTGAAGCGTGGATCAATCCGAGCACCACATGCTGCAGCGCGGCCTTCGCTCATGCCATGTGGGTTGCGGGATAACTCCGCGAAGCTGTATTCCAGTTGTTGTCTTTGGCGCGCCACCTGCCAAGGGGCGGCAACACGAGTTCTGCCTCGGTGCTTTGCGGGGTCGAAAGTAGCGGTGAGAAATGGTGGCGCCGGTGGTGAGGGCGGCAGCGGCGGTGGGGGTGGTGGCTGGCAGTGGTGGGGATCAACACTAGCGACCAGAAAAAGCCCGTGAACCCCGCCTGTCGCTCGTGCATCTGCATTGCGCCTGCCTGGCTCTGCAGCACGTCACCGTAAGTTCCAGTGTGCTTGCTGCTGTTCGCCTCATCCGCCCACCTGAGCAAGATCACAGCACTGTTGCTGAAGTGGTTGTGGCTGTTCGGAATAGGACGAAGAAGAGCGATGATGATGATGATGATGCTGATGCTGATGGTGGTGATGTTGTTGATGCGGACAAGGAGGAGGAGGAGGAGGAGGAGGAGGAGGAGGAGGAGAGGACAATATTCACCACTGAGGATGAGGATGATGGTGAAGAAGATGATGAATGATGATTGTGATGGCGATGAAGTAGAAAATGAGTTGATGATGAAGAGCAGGAGGAGGACAAAGAAGGAGAATCAGATGATGATGATGATGATGATGAAGATTGAAGATGGTGGTGTTGCTACTGCTACCACGACTACACTATTAATCTTTATCACCATATTCTTCTTCTTCTTCATGAACATAATCATCGTCATCACCACCATCAGCTTCTTCATCATCAGAACGACAAGCATTAACTGGGGTTCGATTATCGCATGCGTTGTCACTGCCTAGTTGCCGTGGTTTAGAGTCTAGTTGGTGTGCCAAGCTCTTCGATCACTTCGGGCATTCAGCCAGTCTGTCAGTGTGTTTTGATAGAAGTGCTGTTGTTTCTGCTGCTGCGGCTGTTGCTGCTGCTGCTGCCGCCGGTGCTTGCGGTGGGTCGCACCTCTTGAGGTTGTGCGAGAAACTTGTGCAGTGGAAGCCTTTCCTGCTCGTGCTGGTGGTCACTTGTTGCTGTCATAAATAATTGCTGGTGCTGGGATTCTAGGTCCTCTGGTTGCTACTGCTGGCTCGCCTGGCAGAGCGGCCGCGAGGCGGCGCGCCGGCGGAAACCAGCGTCTCCTCCAGCAGGGACTTAGGTTCACAGCGTGGGCCCAAGGAAAGGTAAGACAGATGTAAGGGAGCATCACGCCTGCAGTGAGCCCGCCACCCACACCCGAAACCACCTATAAGTAAGACCTCGGGACTCAAGCTTCAAGAGCCACAAGGGCTCCGCGATCATAGACGCAGGAGACCACCAGTAAGGAGGCGCACCCGAAATCACAGCAGAGAAGATCAGAGAAGGTGAGCAATGGAATGAAGCCAGCATCCCCTCTGCCAGACGGCCTGCTGGGGTGACGCAACACCTCTTCGCAAGATTCGGTATGAGAGGGCCAAGCGTCCCAAAGGCACAGCTATGCTTGACTCCGGGCTGTCGCCGATGCAGAAGTGCAAGCACAGCGAATGGTGCCGGCCCTGCATCTAAGTCATGCGGGACGGCTTCGGAATCAAGACGAAGACTGGCCTGCCGCCATCGGGTCGTTGCTGTGTTTGAAGGGATGGCTCGTGTTGCCACACGTCGTTGTATCACTGATCCCACCACGACCGGCACAATTCCGCAAGGGGAGTGTGATCTTGTGCACTACATCCACGCACGGCACATGCCGTGGCTTTTCGGGAATTACGGTGCCTCATTGCTCTCCAATGCGCAGATTTACAGCTTTGCGGCCCTGCAGCTCAGCCGAGCTGGAGAAGGCGCAGAGGCTTCTAATGCAGTGCGTGCAAGCATGTGAGGATCATTGCCGTTGAAATGTTGGCTTGGCCTTGGTTGCAAAGTATGCTCAGATGCATCCGTTTTCTCGGTAGTGGAGTGGGACACAGAAGGAGAAGGCAAGCATAGAGCAGACAGCATTTTCAGAGAGGCGAATTGATAACGCTTACCGGGGCTCCGCTTATTGTGTAAGTTATGTACTCTGTACGGTTGCAAATTTTACATCTTTTACTAACGAAAAACAATCGCCATAAGTACAGTAGTATAGTGGTATAAGCACGACGAATACAACACATGTGACAGCGACAACTAGAGGTGGGAGGAAGCAGAAGCGGAGTGGGATGATTCTCGATCACGACGACGACGACGATGGCGACCGTGATGATGATTACTATTGACGGTTGTGGATAATGAATGATGGAATCATGGATGAAGGATGATGGCCCTGAGGAAGGGAAGGAAATGCTGATGATGGTGACGATGATGACGCCGAAGATGATGATGACGCCGATGATGATGATGATGATGACGATGACGATGATGATGATGATGCTGGTGATGGTGATGATGATGATGATGATGATGCATGATGCATGATGCATGACGAACTATGACACGTGATGGGATGGCGAGACAATGCATAATGATGGCGGGTGATGAAAAAGCCATGATGAGTGATGGTTCATGGTGAAGAAGAAGATGCTGATGATGATGATGGTGGTGGTGGTGGTGACGATGGTGGTGATGGTGATGATGATGGAAATGACGATGATGATGATGAGGATGATGATCATGACGATGAAATGCGCTCCACTGTCGCGGTGTCTTATTTGCGAGTTCTGTTCTCCCTGAGCAGTACAGTACCAATCGTTGAACCGACGGCCTTACTAAGCCGTACCAACCTTAAGCCCTTCGCAAACCCTCAACCCCGAAACCTAAACCGTAAACCCCAAACCCGAAACCGGGCCCGCCCCACGCCTGAACCGTGTAAGCCCACGACCATGCCTAGGTCCTAACCCTAAGCCCCAACCAAACCCTCAACCCCGAAACCTAAACCGTAAACCCTAAACCCGACACCGTACGGCCTGAACCCACCAACCCTACCCTGAACACTGCACCTTCAAACTTAAACTCTCTCCCGCATCATCCCGCATCCTGCATCCTAAACCCTAAACCGCCTAAACCAGAACCCGCAATTAAGACCAAACGCCTCAGCCGAACCGGACCCTAAACCTTGAGCCCTAAGCAAACCGTAACCATCCGTAACCCCACACGCGAAACCCCTTTGCGAAACCGGACACGGGCAGTAGAAATCCTGAAACCACGGCCTAAGGCCTATCCATGCCCTCAATCCCAAAATAACAAACCCGGTTCGAACCCAAAACTCATAAGCAGCCCAAACCCAAGACCCCACCCAAGCCGTAACCCCGCCCTAAACCCTGCGGTAAACCCTTATCCCTAATTTAAACCCCTAACCCGGAGCCGGGGCCGCAAATCCCTCAAGCCTGAACCTGAAAAGCCTGAAGCGGCTTCCTCTAAACCCCAAAGACTTGGACCCTAGACCACCTCATCCTGACCTCGAAGCCTAAAACTAAACCCGACAATTTGGGACAAGATCCCGTCGACGCCCAGAGGCACCCCTATTCTCAAAACTCAAGCCAGAAAGCCCACACTGCAAGCGCAGGAAGCCAGAAACATATACACTGTCCAGATTGTGCCATCCCAAAACCTTGCACCACTAGCCCTAGAGCCCAAAACTCTTGAATCTTGAAGCCTCAGCCCGAAGCCCTGATCCTCAAACCGGAACCCTGACAGCGAACCCAATCTCCCTGCCCACGAACCCTGAACGGAGTGGCCAACCCGAAAAGAAACCTTCTTGGTTGTGGAGGCATGCCTCTTCAGATGGCAACACACGAATAACTTCCCGAATGCGCAGAAAGAAGGCATGCTCAAAGAATTCGTCGCAAAAAAAGAAACATTCTTCCCTGAACCCACCCATGGGTGCTGGTGATGATGCTGATAAGGATCACGCTGATTGATGTTGTGCTTACGGTGGATGGTGAAGACATGTTGATAATGGCAGTCGCGATGGCGGCGCTGATGCTGGTGAAGATGACAACGACGATGATGATGGTGACGGTTAAAGACAATTAAGATAATGACGATGGATCATGCGGAGGACAATCCTGACGAGGACTTGAGCAGACGATGGCGATGATGACCATGTCAAGTAGTTCGGACAACGATGATCACACCGATGATGGGCCATGAGGATGACACTGTTGAGTTCATGGTGACGACTAACAAAGATGACGATGATGTGGACGACGGTGATGGTGCTGACGATGCTAGTTGATAAATAGTCATCATAGTATGACGTATCGTCAGCTTGATGTGAGGTTGAGCTTCTACGGCTTCTACCTTACCTAGCAGACCTAGTAACTCCGTCCTGCGGCCCCGCAAGTGTCGGGGGCTTGCGTGTTCGAAGCTGAGCCTCGCCATACGCACCAGAATACGGGTTGTGGGGTTTCACGGTTTTGGAGCCTACGGACTCTCTAGGTCTAGGATGTGTTCTGCTGAGTTGAAGCAAGGCACATCATGCAACAATGCCGGGTGCAGATTGAATCAAAGCAACGGGCAGCGCCGTGCAAGCACTCGAAAAGCAAAACCTGGACCGTAGATCAGTGTCTTCACTGACACATCATTTCCGGGAAATACTCGCACGGAGCGTTGTGAAGTTCGGGCAGTCATGTTGGACTAGTTCTGAATTATTTAACTTAAGTGTGCATCGGTACTGATTCTGGATGATAACTGACACATCCTCACCATCCTGTATGCTTATCCAGGGATGGTTACAAGCTTGTGCAACTTCCGGGAGTCATGTCCTTTCTGCACTGCCAAGCCTCCAAAGCTCGAAGCTGCTCCTCGAAATGCCAAAAGCAAATCGAATTGTCCAGCATAGCACCCTGTTGTCGAATTTATACAATGCACGGAGAGCGGTGGGCTCAGATAGCTCCTGCACCAAGCTGTCCTCCACTTCCAGGGACCGCAGCCTTGGCTTGAGAAGGGCCGTGAAGAGTGAAGTCTCAGCATGGGAATTGGGAGATTTGCGAATTGTGGATATGCGATGATACAACCAGCCTTGGTGTCATCACGTTTCTGAGGCGTCCCATGGTGTCCAACCCACCTCTACAGATGCATGTTCAGACCTTTTCCGGACCCCGCATCCCCGCCTGCAAACTTAAAAAAGGACTATCATGGGATCATACTGCGCGAAATGCAGCGTCGTAAGTCAGAACAATAAGCCGTGCTGCATAGCGACTTCACGTCCTAAAGTTGCTGATTCTACCAAATGCACCACTGCCGGTCTTAAAGCTACCAAACATCTTACTCCTTATTTTGGCTTCCCAGTTGCACTGCAAGCATGACAAGGCACGTTGTAGCCCTTGGACCTGACCGTCCCTGCACCTCACAGCCTTGACCGATTGCCCGCTCAGTGGCTCGTCCTCCAGAAGCATGAGCTGCTGTTTGACGAAGGTGTCATAAGGATCGTGTGACAGGCCAAATGGAAAATGTGCCGTGCTGGTCGGAGAATCCTCCTGCAAGCCATGCAGCACGCACTTGCTTACATGACCGACCAACTTTCGCGGCTATGCTGTCTGCACTGACAGAGGAGTGAGACTTTGCAGACTAGGGGCCTCGTCTTGCGGTGGTGCCATGCGCCCCATGGTCTGCTGAGCCCATGCGTTTGGCGAGCCTCCCGCCTCTTCTCCTGGAGGAGGCCATAATTAGAGACGTGGCTAAGTAAGGCAGCTAAGCTAGCAGGGTCTGCTCTAGGGACCCCGGACGTTCCAAGGAGATTCGGAGCCTTTTGCAAGCGACGTCTCCTCCGTCTCCATCCGCCGGCTCTGCCACGGCCGCGACGGCCGCGACGGCCTGGCCGTCCTCGGACGGAGGCGGCCCCGACATGGCGGCATGGCCTTTGACCCGGACCGAAGGGTCTTTTTGCTGATTGCACCCTTGCAGATACAAAGAACACGCTCTTTACCACTACATGGCTCATCACTCGTGCTTGAAGCGCCTGACAAGCAGTGGGGGGAGGTAGGGGAGCGAGAGCCTGAGATGGATCTGGATGGCTACATGATGGCAGCTTGCACCGAGACATTGCATAACAGATCAGGCTAAGGGAGCCATGCGCTGTAGAAACATGCTGCAATGGTGCACAGGAAGTCCTGCAACACTCTACTGGCGACAACTCAACTGTCCACAGAGCATTCTGAACACTTTGAAGCACTCAAGCTTTTGAGTCGAGCACGGATAACAAAATTCACTGGCGTTTTTGGCGGGCCCCCGTCAGATGCCTACCCATCAAATATACACTAGGCACAAGAGGCTGCACACATTCACACATCCCGGGAGTACGTCTCCGATTCGGCAGTACTGTTCGCTCACAGCAACTTGACTGCCGGCAAACAGCATCTCTGGACGCTGCGAGCTCAGTTACCAGGATGCCTGCCCACGATGCAGAGCTGAACCAACTGAATGTCTAGCACGATCCAGTGGAGCATCCAGAATAAGCGGCCTACAACGGTGGATGTAGAGGCTTGCCGTTCGCGAGTCACAGGTGCCCCGAAAGCTTTTAACAGACCCGAGGGCCAGCTCGTTTAACGATGTTTTAACGTGCCTAATCACGGGAAGTGACATAAAGGCACTTGTGACAATTGTGCCAGCCGTCTTCTGGCTCGCTGTTGCTCGACTTGTACAGTCAAGTTGCAATGCTGCAAACCCTTGCGGCTAGCATTGTTTCCAAACATTACCTCTCCACCTTCGAAGAACAAGCAGTTTCAAATCCACTTCCGACACCCCATGCAAGCTTCCTCTTCTCGGATCCCCCAGCTCAGCACAGGTCCCGATCCTTCTTAGCAGAGGGCTCGTCCTCATGGCTCCATGCTGATCGCTTCCAGCCGCCCTGGTCGCAGCGCGCCATGACCACGGCAGGAAAAGATTCATTGCTGAACGAGCACCTGTCTTAGACCTTCAAGGATCCTGATACTCTGAAAACAATTGGAACATCATGGAACCACTTTGGCTTACCAGTTTTGTTGTTGCCCTGTCGACTGAATTTTGCATGGCCTCGTGCCACTCCAACACCTAAAACACCCCGCAGACCAGGAAACAGAACTCGGGGCCTCGTTGTTCTTCCAGTCATCCTTTTTGGACCAGTCATCTTTGCCGTCGTTATTCCATTCGTCCTTTTACCGGGAACTCTCATTTCTCCAGCAACAGGATGTTGAGGGCTGTGCCATCTGCATTCGAGAAATACCATGGGAGATTGAAATCTTCAAAAAAGGGAGAAAGACCGTGGGGCGCCTCACTGGAGGTTGAAAATTTGAAAGGTTGCAGTTTGAGCTCGAGGAGTCCGAAACTGAAGCTATTGAAACTTTAAAGCTTCGACAGTTTCAATGGTTGAATGAATGGTTCAAACGCTTGAAAGGTTGAAGGTCTGAGACTTCGAAGTTTCAATTCTTTCAATCTTCGGAAATAGTAAAGTTCGAATGGCACAGAGCTTGAGAGTTCGAAGGCTTCAATCTTTCATAGTCTGAAAGTTTGGAGCACGAAAGGATTGAAACATGGAGAGGTTAAAACAGAAAACTCTTGAGTATGAAAGCGTGCAATTTGAGAGGTGCTCGAGTGTCAAGTTTTACGTGGCGCTGGGCGCTTGGTTGTTATGTATTACTATGATCTCGCTTAATGTTTTCGTATGTGTGTGTGTTGATGTCACAGCAGAGTCCTCTAGTACAGTAATAATTTGTATTCTAGTCGTTTAATATTGTATCTGTTTGTAAGTAAGCGCTCTGCTAGTCTTGTACTAGAAATGTGTACTGTAGCTGTTTACTACTGTATCTGCTTATAAGCAGAGGGCTTGCTTATAAGCATGCCCTCTGCCTAGGCCCTCGACGTAGAGGGGGGAGGGGGGGGGGGAGGGTCTTTGGAAGTAGCTTAACCCCCTAAACCGTAAACAGATACTTTAGGCCCAAGGTAGTGACTATATTAGGTACATGGACCCTTGGGACGGCTGGATAACAAAACGGCGCTGGAGCCATACTTGCAAAATTTCCGCCCCGAAGTTCTTGGCCCGAGTCCTTTGGCCCAGACCCGAATTGCTGATATAGAGGTCCGAACCCTAAACCCTAAACCATCGCCCCAAAAGGCCTTAAGTAAATTGTTTCGCGAAGATATACACCAGATGCTTGGCTCGAACTCGCTTAAACCCTAATATGGAAGACTGAATAATTACCAATACTACTGCTGGGGTTCTTTATTTTGTGAATATACTACGAAGGAGCCCGAAACCCCATTCTAGTTGTTAAGGCCCCTTAAACCCTAAACGCTCATAGAAAAGCCTACAGAACCAACGGCCTGAGCCCAGTCGAAGATTCACGTTTAGGGTTTAGGGTTCAAGGGTTTAGGGTTTTTAGGGTTTTGGGTTTTGGGTAGGGTAGCACTTCATCACAGAGAACTTCTACTTGTGTCTATGGGAGGGTTCAGGGCATCTATAATAGTAAATAACAAACAAGCGCCCAGGACCGACCCCTCCCAAAATCTAAACCTGAGCCTTCAACACTTGGAACCGCATGATATGATTACTTCCTGATGACTCGGGGTAACACAGAGGGCATGGGTATCAAATGTCATCAAACACCATGGCTTCATGAGGGCGCAGGATTAAGAAATGTGATCAAACGGCATCACCTCAGAAGGTGGTGTAAATCAATATGAGAAACCGGGATCGCCAAATGAGGAAGCGTGCTTCAGCACTCACGACGCCGCAACGTTGCGGTCGATTTCTGTTGTGTTTCCTAGAACCGTGTGTTCGGGACCAGGTTTATGTTATCTTTGGTTTCTGGATGCGGCAGTGGGAAGGCGTTTGTATTTTGTGGGAAGTGTTGTGAAAAGCTGGTATCCAGTATCCACCATCGACTAATGAGGGGTCGGGTCTAAGCGATGTGATCGAACGATGGCGCGCGCTACGAAAGCTGGCCGGCTGCGGCGTATGTTTAGGGGCTACGGTGCATGCGTCGCTTGCTTTTCGGCGCACACCCCTGCAACTAGGAGCCGTGCTAGCATGCGGAGGCTCTATGCAAAGGCATTCGTAGTAGTCCGCTGCCTGAAAGAGCAGGCCGCAAAGGGGTTTTGCAGCCAACCCCCCCCCTTTGCAGCGAAACCTTGATTTTGAAACCAAAACACCCTAGAATGTCTTGTTAGCATTCTCCTTCGTACTGAACTCCCACCAGCTCCCAAACAGCCAGCTTTCGTGACATGTGACCAACCGCAATCGCTCAATGAGTAATGGGGGGGGGCTAAATCTTTAAATAGCAGTGAACTGCCCTATGAGCATAGGCCTAGTGCAAGTCGAGTGTGTGTAACATGCATACATGGCATACACCCCAGCTCTAGCCGGGCCTCTAGTAAACTTTCATAAATTCAAACGTGCAATCGTTCGAACTCTCGGACAGACTTTCAAAACTTGGCAGACCGACTAACTTTCGAACTCGGCGCATGTCAAAACTTCAAAATTTCAATCTTCCACACAATCGAACTCTCGAACTTACATGCCGTGGAAACTCTCTAACTCTCAAGATGTCAATCTTTAGAACAAACTTCCGAGCCTTCCAACTGTCAGCCTCTCGACCTGGGAAGCGAGATGGTGCACTTGGAGCGAGCCTTTCAAACTCGAAGCTTTCGAACTTTCGATCCGCCGAACTGATGGAACTTGCAAATTCTCAAACTCCCGAACTGTCGACGACGAAATTCCCAAACTTTCAAGCTTGGAGCGCCGATCGAAGTCGGTCGCGGCTACAGTTTGGTGGCGGAAGCTTCCACGTACAAAAGGACGGCTTCGAGCTTTAAAGGGTAGAAGTCTGAATATAGCTCACTTGCGCATACCAACGTGCCCAAACAGTCGCCTTCCGCTGCCTTTTTGAACTTTCAAGCCTTCAAGATTGAATCTAGCAATCTTCAATCTTTCGAACTTTCTAAACAAAGCTTGAACACTCGTCCGAGTTTGAAGAAGGTGCAATCGCACTTCGAGCTTGGGTTTTTTTGGGTAGCAGGTTTCAGCCGGGACAGTTTTCTTCTCCAGGGTGTAATGTAAAGACATGTCAGGATCATGTGGCAGCCGGCTGTTTCATGCCGGGCATGATTGGTTTCCAGGCTGTCAGTGGTTTGTGGCCGTGCGAAACAAGCGGGTGAGCAGAATTGGCCGGACATCAGTGGGCCGCATGTACAAGGAGTGCATTTGTTCAGTCAAAACACAAACATTAAGACATGAATGCACAAACATCTTAAGAAATGAATGACATGAACCAGGAACACTTCTTCGTAGCGGCGTCTCTGCTTCAGCTACCAGTACCTGGTGTGCCTGCCACTCTCAGGACATGTTGCGATTCACCCTTGAGAAGTTAGATTCGAGTCTGATCTTGGCTGAGCAAGCATTAACAACAGCAAAATGCTTCGACTGTGCAGCATCTGCGTCAAAGGGTCATTTCAGGATCGCAAGACGTATTCAGTAATGGGAAAAGTCGCACGGCACATGAATCGTTGAATCACAGAGCAGTGGCATGAAACTGCACCGACTACCGGCTACACCTCAATTAGCAAACCTGCCCATACGCATCACTGCTTGCAACCAGAGCATGCCCGACAGAAATTTGGCGAAAGGCTCCGAGACGGAGACTGTCACTGAGTATGATTCAACCGAAAATGCTTGCAACAGGATCCAGTTCGAGAATGACTGGGCCAATATATTACAAGTGGGTCCTTCTTGTTCCACCCATTCGAGTCATTCCTGAGTCTGAGTCACAGCAACCTGCCAGTGAGCCGCTGTGCCGCTTTTCTCCGAGGCCCTCGCTTCTGCCAGTCGTCCTTCTTCCAGTTGTCGTCCTTTGCATATTCTCGAGACTGCAAGG